TACTTCATAGGGTACTCTTTTCTTAATTTGGTCAGTAATAATCAAGTCTTTTAACGCGGTCAAAATTTGTGATTTCAAGACCATTGATCCATTCTTCAAAATAACTTGTAATTTCGTAGCAAAAATCTCGCTCCATGATTTTTCAGCGCTCTTTTGGTGCATCACAAATTTTTTTTTTCTAAAGCTTTCAGGATTTAATTTAAATCTCTTCAATAAAATGGCCTTAATGTACTCATAATCTTCAAAATTTTCTTCAGATTCCCTACCAATTAATTGAATGATTTCAGATGGCATTAAAGTCAATAAACATGAAACCCAATCTTTAGGATCAATCTTTGTCCTTTTAGCTTGTCTTTCAAATAAGGATAAATAAATCACAATATCATCGTGTCTTAAATTGAATTTGGGAATAAGCTTAATTAAATCAAAATTATGATGTCCATTTTCATTTGTTGGTGGAGTTTTGTGTAGTCGAGTCGAACACGAGATTCAATTTCGAGTTTCCCTCAATTCAAACTCCATTTGCTCTCTTTTCTGCTGTGCTTCTAATTCTTCTTCTTCGTTGTTCCTCATCTCTTCTCCTTCGTTGTTCCTCAATCTCTTCTTTCCTTCGTTGTTCCTCATCTCTTCTTTCCTTCGTTGTTCCTCAATCTCTTCTTTCTTCGCTGTTCCTCAATCTCTTCTTTCCTTCGCCTTTCCTCAAGCTCTTCTTTCTCCTTTCTTCGCTGTTCCTCGATCTCTTCTTTTCCTTCGCCTTTCCTCGCTCTTCTTCTCCTTTTCTTCGCTGTTCCTCTTCTTTTCTTTTCCTCTCTTCAATAATCGTTAAAAATACTTCTTTAGCAAATGCTTCGTCATATGTATCACTTTGAATTATTTCATTTTTTATCGCCACGATTTTCATACTTGGATCTACTTGAATTTCTAATTCAGCAGCTAAAGCCAGCAAATCCTCTTTTTTCCCACGTCCCATAAAAGCCATGTCTCGATTTTATTCAGCCAATAGACTCTTAGTTTTTTTTAAATAAAAAAAAAAAAACAATTTTTTTTTCTTTTCTTTTTCTATTTAAAATATAATTCACAATGAATTTAATTTTATTCGGCACGAAAATCAATCAGTGGAATCAATACTTAATGTGTTGTTCACCTACTCTGGCGAATCAAACGAAATTACATTTGAACACTGGCGTATTCATTACTTTGACAAGTAAATAAACTAAGATTCCATGACGGAAATAATAATTAACTTTTCATAATCTTAATTAATTATTTTACGTTTACAAGGTAAATTGAGCGCTCACCTAAGTTATTTTGGTTCGTAATTATATGCGGGTAAATCCCGATCCTGTCGACTGCGCCAGTAAAAATCCTTTCCTTATTTTAATATAATGAATATTGAATCTTGTAGGAAGAATAAAGCTAATTTTTCAGAATAAACAAAATACTTTTATTTAAATTTTAAAACAGAACCAAAAAAAAATAAATACTGCAGCTCTAAACTATCAAAATTTTAAACTCTTAACTACTGCAGTTAAAACTCTTACAACTATTAAAATATTCCAAATCCTAACTCTCTAAAAAAATATATATATATATAAAAATCTTTGGAATCCTCTTCTTGTTGCCACACCGTAAAATGCAAGTTCTTGTCCTATTATTTATATTTCACGTTCTCTTTAAGTCACGATCTTCATAAGTCATGATCTTTACAAGTCACGATCTTTACAAATCTCCTTTTTTAATAAATAACCTTCAGTAATATTCCACCATTTTTTGCATTTTGTACCCTTTGAATACCAGTTTTTAGATGACAATCTAAAAGAGTTCGCTGCCAAATCTGAAAAGAAAGAAATTATAAGATTAACAGAAGAATAAGAAAACGAGCATAACTTTATATTTGTGCAAACCGAAATTAATTTTTTGCCAACCCAATAAACTAAAACTTCGTAAGCTTCTACTTACGATGAATTGTAATGTTTCAGAAAAATTATATTTATAAACAATTTTGATTTTGATTCTTTTTAGCGTATGCTGTAATAAGTATTTGCCTGTAAAATAGCTACGTATTCCTATGTAGCACATTATATTTGGGAAAGCTACTTCCTCCAGTGTATAAAGTACCTATATATGGTATCCATTTGAATAATTATATGGAAAGACATATTTACCTATAATTTAGCTTTCAAAGTTATTATGGTGAAATACTTCCTATGCAGCCGATATTTATGTATAGCGAAGCAAGAAAAGGAATATTCCAATACTATATTTCTGTTCTAATTGGTCGGTCGTCGAAATTCTATTTGTGGTTTTTTTATATCAAAACTGCGAGTATTTATATAGAACATATGTATTTTGACGCAAAGCTGAACCTTTTTCTGAACTGACACGCAGATTTTTTTATCACAGTTGAATTCTGCAGATGAAATTATACCAAAATGTCACGTTTTGGGTGTTCGCCGAAAACATCGCGGCTGAAATATCGCGAATGAAAACGTCATGAAGAATACAACGCAAGGGTAAATATCGTAAACATAAAAAAAGCAACAAAAGTACATCATGGTATAAAACAAAATGATCTAAAATAAGGTGGTGCAAAAATTTCGCAATTTAAAATAACATTGTACAAAAATCGTTATAAACAATAAAGCACCTACAAATCTTCGTATGATGATAACGTTGGAAACATATGTTTTCCTACTAAATTTTTTTTTCGAAATTATTTGTGAGCACAAAAAGAAGTAAGTAATATTTTTTACCTCTATATTTCATATTTTTGCATTAACTAAGAAATATTTAATAGAAAAATATAAAACAAAAACAAGAAGCAAACTCAAGTTAAAAATGTCTGGTAGTTCGGTCCGAGCTGGCTGCATGATCACTTTCGTGGTTTTCCGCATGTGTAACGTGTATACGAGCCAGTTTCTTTTAGAAAGTCCTCCACGAAAGCATTCCTCCCCTTATGCAGATAGCCCTCCAGGCTTTACCATAATCACACACACAGAAGTTAAAAATCTGGAAATTACTAAACATTGCTGCATGCATAGCACTTAATAGAATTTAATTTATGTCATGATCTATTTAATATCACTCTCTGTTAAAAACTCATGATTTTATTATCATTTTATTCAGATATGTGGGTACATTTTCATGAAAAAAAATTGTATAAGAAAATAACACAAATTTAAATTGCAATTAATGGCTATACGTAATTAATTAATTAATAGAAATTTAGATCTATGTATCATTATCGAAATATAAACTTACACATTTAATTTTTATGAATTGCTAGACTTGGAATGTTTCTTGCTATTTCAGTAAAAATTTATTAGTTAATACAGAAATTCGAAATTCAGACGTAAAAATGTTACATAATTTTTCTTTTGCTCAAAAATCATTGCCCGAAAGTTAAAATTTTTTTCAATCAGAAAACGCACGTCTGCAATATTATCACCTTGTGATGATTTGTAAGTGTCACTACAAATTTTACTTGAGTTTTAATTTGCTACCCCTATTTTTTTTACCACGTAGGCGATGTTTTAAAAGTTTTTCTGCACCGTTTTATTTCCTACCACAATGTTTTAGAACTGCGATGCTTTTTCCTTCCTCGCTTGTTTCCCGCGATGTTTTGTATGACAACCCTCTGCGATTGTTTTGTTTTCACCGCAATGTTTTCACCTGTAACGAAATTTTGTAAAATAAGAGACCCAGTAGGAATTCTTTTTAGCCCAAAAGGCCGTTAGACCCAAAGGGCTATTAGTCTCAAAACAGCATTTTGCATCGTTTCACTTTCAGCGTTGGTTCACTTTTCAAACTGTTGCCACCAAATATTATCGCCATGTATTATATTTATGGAAACTAAAAAATGGAGAATCCGCATGAATGTTTCTTGCATTGTGAAAAAATAACGGTACCCAGAGGCATCAGATTTTGAATAACGTAGTCCTCCAACCGAATATGGGCACTTGGAAGCCCGAATTTTGAATTTCAAATTTGTTTTATTATCGATTTCAAATTTTGTAAAACTTTAACGAATTTTTAATTAAAAAACCTCACAGATTTCAAAGCAAGCAATCGTAACACAGTACGAAAAAAATCATTTTAATCTGCAGCGCATGAGATTGTGTATCGGAAATTCTAAAGATACCTATGCTCTTTTCAACTTATTTTATGATATTTTTGTTAAGTTGAATTTTATTATTTAAGTGCGAAGAACATGATTTTTAATAAATAAAGGTAACACACATTAAAAAAAACGCCCTTTTGGGCGTTATATAAAATCTGTAAGCTTTCAAATTTTCTTTTTTATGAATATTTCTCTTATTGTAGTTAGCACTTGAAATTTTGGTACGGCAATAGTAACTGAAGCTAGTTTATATTTAATAATAGCGATTTTTCATTAACATTATTTGTTTTTCTTTTTTTTATAAACTAATATTTAGATTTATTCTAAATTAAATTCAGACATTTTTTTCTGATTTATTTCTAACAAAATTTATTTTTTAACAACTTTTAGAAATTTTTTAAACATTTTTTTTTATTCACAACCTATTAAAATTCGCATATTTATTTATATGTAACAGTGTCAGTTTCGAGACATAAAAAAAAACAAGCTGAATTTGACAACAAAGAAAACTATTTCTCCACCTTTTTCTTTACTCATTCTACATTGTTATCTTTAGAGCCATTTTTAGAAAACCCTTAATTATAATGTCAGTTTCCATTTTGCTGACTTAAAGCATTGAACTTAAAATAAATTTTACGGTTTTAAAAACCACGACACTTGCTATAGCTGAGAAGAAGAATACGCTATTTAATAATGATGTCATTTTCAGCACCCTTTGCATTTAATTAATATGCTTTAAAAATATTTAATTATACATTGAGTTAACTAACACCAGCACTTATACATCATACTTCGCAAAACTTTAATTATTATAATCTTTGACAGAATTTTGGATGCTTATTTTCACAAGGGAATTTATGATTATGGTGCAATTTTTCAGACGGAGGTGGCGCTTGTTTACGACGCGGTATGGACTTTCGCGACAGCGCTGAACACTTTGGACAAAAGTCAACGTCTGCAGCTCAAACCTATCTCCTGTGATACAGAAAAACCTTGGTCCCACGGATTAGCACTTTCAAGCCACATGAGAGAGGTAAACAAAAACATATTTTTTCTATTTTAAATGCCTATCATCTGTGAGCATGCATACATAAGTTTTATAAAATGACTTTAGATTAGCAAATATACAGTGGTGGCCAAAATTGTGGACACTTTTGGAAATTTTTATGTTTTTGAACTTTGTATGCTTATAGAAAATGTTACGTTTCACAAAATGCAAACTTGTATATATATCATTTTAAAGATAATTTATTACTGAATTCAATACAAAACCCAAAATTCAATTATTTGCAATACAAAAAAGTTATATGTACTTTAATATAAATAAAAAACACAGTTATGAAGTGGTTTGTAATGTTTAGCTTTCCTGGCCAATCACTGTTCTTGTTCTGAGAACCAATCAAATGTTAGTACTGCCAGTAGAAGTTGACATCATGTTTTACACTTGAAACAATTAATTATTTGCTTTGTTCTGTAGAAGGAGGACCTGTTTCTTATACACTGCAATTACAAGTAGGAATTTTTGTAAAAAATTTAATATTAGTCAAGAAGCAATGACATCAAATTAAGAGTAGATTGGACACCTAGAAAGAGATGTAATATATTGTGTTACGAGAAAGTGGTCTTTCCCCTATGCTGAAATTGCAAGACAGGTGGGTGGTTCAGTGACTACATCTGGAGTCCGAAAGTTTGTTTACGATATCAGGAGACAAATTCAATAAAAAGCAAAGAAGGAAAAAGCCGAAAAAGGTGCACCACATCTATTGATCATAGAAGAATAAAAAGACTATGTATCCAAGATAGAAAAATGTCATCGGCGGCCATCAGAAGTGATCTGAATGATGCTGGTGTTTCTGTCAGTTCAAGAACAATCAGGAGAAGATTAACAGATGTTGGACTGAGAGGTAGAATTCCACGAAAAAAGCCTTATCTTAATTTTCAGCAACGAAAAAAAAAGACTACAGTGGGCAAAAGAACACATTAATTGGACAGATGATCAGTGGTCACAAGTTATATGGAGTGATGAAACTAAGATATCGTTATTCGGTAGTGATGAGCGAAAATATGTAAGACGTAGAATAGGAGAAGAGCTAAATCCTGACTGCATTCAAGCAACTGTGAAGAATCCAGTTAGTGTTATGATTTGGTCATGCATGTCAGCAGATGGTATTGGTCGCCTACATTTCATCGATGGGACACTGAATGCCAGAAAATACATTGACACTATTCTAGAACCAAAACTTCAACCTTCCATCATATATCTCTTTTCCAACAATGCTTCGTTTATTTTTCAGCAGGATTCTTCTCCTTGCCACACGGCCAAAATATCGAAAGAGTGGTTTCGTACAAAGAGCATTAAATTGTCATGGCCAGGAAACAGTCCTGACCTCAATCCTATCGAAAATTCGTGGCACCGTTTGAAAACTCTTGTCCGAATGAGGCGCCCATCAAATAAAAGGGAACTAATTGAGGCTATAATTGTTTCCTGGCATCATGTAATAACGAAAGAAGAGCTTAAAATTCTTGTCAGCTCAATGAAACGTCGATGTGAAGCTGTAATCCAAAATAAAGGGTACCCTACTAAGTACTGATAACTTACTGCAATCATCACTATCTAATGTATATCGATAACTATTACCGTTTAACTTTTTTTGTATTGCAAATAATTGAATTTTGTGTTTTGTATTGAATTCAGTAATAAATTCTCTTTAAAATGATATATACAAGTTTGCATTTTGTGAAACGTAACGTTTTCTATAAGCATACAAAATTCAAAAACATAAAAATTTCCAAAAGTGTCCACAGTTTTGGCCACCACTATTTGAGTAAACGTCTCTTACATTTATAATTATAAGACAAACAGTCTGAGAAATTTAAATTAAGGTAAAAATTAAGCTTGTTTATAGCTTACTGTTATTGGTTTTAAAGGAATACTCTAAGTGTGAGATTTTTATTAATGCCAACACTAATCCAAGATTGCATCTTGCTTTAACTAAATTTGAAATTGGGTTATTCGTTTAATACTGCCTGAAGTATTGATAACTTATAATCAGGAAAAGGGTTAATGTAGTCTTTTAACGAAAATCTCTGTGCGAGTTTTCTCTTAGAACCAAAATCATTCCAAGAATGAGCTTTAACTTAATTAATACCATCTTCATAAAACTATTTCTTAAACAAATAATAACTTATATTTTAGTCTTGTAATTGTTTCCACATGTAACAATATATATTGAAAAAATATATTATTTTTTTAATATAATGGCTGGCATTTGTTTATTCGACAATGGCCACTCCTAAGGTCAGAAGTGGTGGTCATTTTAATATGGGAGCACCTAATGGGCATCCACCGTTGCCTCCTATGAAGAGACGAACAGTTACAACCGCGCCTTCTCCGGGATTCGAATCCAGGCCCTTTGATATCGCAGTCGGCTCCTATGACCACCATACACGTACACAATAGTATGTTGACTCAAAATATGAACTACACGAAACTTCTAAGGAATATTACTTATTAAATAGTATACATTAAGCTAAATTGAAAGTGATTTGTGTCATGTAAGGGCTTAGAAGTATTAAGATGCCTGTTGTGGTAATGACTTAATTCTTCTTAACTTTCAAGAAAACATGAGCTTGGAGTGCTGGTGCGCAAGTGGCACGACACCATTGTAGTGAGTGGTAGTTGACTGGGTACCGTTTAGATCAAGGGTTCCCAACTTGGGGAAGGGAGGGAAAATTTTTTCCTTTTGAGAAATTTCATAATTTCAGGGGGGGGCAATGTGGTCAGCCTTTTATTTATCTGTTAAGCATTTAATTTTAGTTAATGTGTGTAAAAAGCTACCCTTATTCAAGTTTTGGTACTTATTAACACTTTCTATTAGTTGATGAGTATAAAAAGCTACCCTTATTCAAGGTTTGGTCCGGTGAGGCCCGGTGGCGCAGCCGCTAGCGCATCGCGTAGCAGCACCACAGGTTCGGGGTTCGATCCCCGGGTTGGGCAAGGTCGACTCAGCCTTTCATCCCCTGATTTCCATTCTTTGGGTCGATAAAATGAGTACCAAGTTCGTTTGGGTACTAAACACTGGGGGGTTCTGCGACAAGCTGACCACTTGTTCAGGGCATATGCTTACGCACCCCGGGGCCCACGGTTAAGAAAGCAGATTTCGGGACACTGCAGGCATTGGCCCGTTAGGGCTGTTACGACACTGAGATTAGTTTAGTTTTAGTTGATGAGTATAAAAAGCTACCCTTATTCAAGTTTTGGTATTTATTAACACTTTCTGAACTTTTTCTTGTATAATTTATAAAACGCATCAAAATAATATAAGTTTAAATAAACATAGGTTTATGGTTTTAAGTTTTAGAAAGGAAGTGGAGGAATGATCGTCAAGTAATGGTTATATGGGTGCATAGATTTGGTTTGGTTTATTTGATTATGGCAAAGCGCCCAAGGGAAGGGTTGCCTTCGCGGAGGATTTTCTAAGGGGAACTGACTCGTATGCACATGTGAAAAACCACGAAACCGCCCATGCAGCCAGCCCGTTTGCCTCGAATCGAACCCAGGTCGGAACTACCACTGTTCAGCGATTTAACCGCTCTACCGCTGGTGGGCCAATGGATGCATAGGACGAAAGGGTTGAAAACCATTAGTTTAGATAAGGCTTGTATATTACACTGCACATCGATCCTGAAACATTTTGCAGACTGAAATACTCACACTCTTTTGATTTTTCAGTTGTATTTTAATTCTTCTGATTCTTTATTATCGCAGACGATATCGGAGCAGCTGGAGAATCATTGTTATGTTAGTCCCCTGCAATCGAGGGGCTTTGATGGCAGGCACAGCGCAGATCGTTAAAATCTCGTTATACTCGTCGGGAAGTTTGGGCTTTTGTAATGCCAAGTGCAGGCATTACTGAAAATGTTATTGCTTCTGTAATATCACAGCATGGCGTCTCATACCTCTTAACGGCTCGAAGATTGTGACTTAATGAGAGGGCTGCACATATGAATTTCGTACATTTGTGTGGTCTGCTGCAAACTTAAATACAGTTAACAGTTATTTAAATTATGTTTAATAGCAAAATTAGTTATTAAATTTTTATTTTTTTTTTCATTAGCTGCTTACAATTGTATAACTTACTATTGTCTTGCTTCTTAAGATGAAATCGTTCGATTGAATGTAAAAATTCTAATTTGCTTTTAGTTCAGTCGAAAATTTTCTAAGTTCATAAACATCCCATTCTTTTTTAGATAAGATTACAAACATAAATTTAGATATTATTTTAGACTTTTAAGTAATAGATATTTAAAAATGTAAAATAGTATCTAAATTTACATTTCGAATTTTTTTAACTTAATTTAAATATGAATTTTACGCAGTTACATGCTTTTCTCAGTATTTGAAATTACTTAATCAATTTTAACTGTAAATGACATTATAAAAAATGTATAAACTGATATTAAAATTAAACTATAAAATCTAATATTAGAATAAAAATGAACTTAAAAGAGCATTGGTAATAAACTGATAAATTACTTAACTAATAAAAATTATTTCATTTTTCTGTTTAACTTCAAACTTTACACAAAGTAAATGAAGTAAATACAGAGGCTGATCACACATTTTTTAGACGATGTATATTGTATTCACAAAACTAAATTACATACAAGTGTTTCTCATATAGAATTCTGCAGCATGTCCTGCGTTGAGCGATATGCTTTGGAAGAAGACGATGCACATTGCGTTTTTTCGCTTTCTTAAGATTTAAATCAACGTTTATCATTTTATTTACAGTGAACACCGGGCATTTTAATGATTTTGCTACTGTCCTTTAACTAGCGGGATTTTCTTTTAACATTAAACAACGTACCTTTGCAATAGTCGAAGATGTCCGTTTTTTTCCTTGGATACTTGTTTGGAATTTTTGTGTCCACGTTTGAGGCTCACCAATTTGACTTTTTTTTTAGTTTCTTGTTGATGATATTACCTATCGACGCTTTAGATATCACAAAACCATGACTCTCACATCGTTT